CTCCTCCTCCTCCTCCTCCTCCTCCTCCTCCTCCTCCTCCTCCTCCCCGCGCCTCCCCTGCGGTCCCCCCACCCGAATGCCCCGCCGGCAGGATGTCGCAGAAGGAGAAGTGGCACTCGCACAGAAACTCGGGGAAGTCGTGCAAGAGCACCTCCCCGCGGGCACGGGGCGGGCACGGGGCCGAGAGCTGCCCGCCGTCCGCCCCAACGCGCGGCGGCCCGCCTCCTGCTGCTCGGGCTCTGCTTCCTCTTGCTCCCTTCCGCCCCCTCCGGTGCACATCCGTCTCAGCTTCTGGTATGCTCCTCCTCTTCCCAAACATCGGGCGGCTCGAAAAAATCGAGACAGAGGTTTTTCGTCGTTTTCGGCCTCTCGGGGCCCTCGCCGGGCCTCGGGACCGTCAAGAAACGACTCGGGGTGAAAAACCGGTCCCGAGAAAGTGGTCGGGAGGTCGGGGGCCCGTGTCTCGAACAAATCGAGACGTCGGATGTCTGGGTTCCTGCCCCCCCTCCCCCCACCTCCCCCCGCGGCCACACGCAGGAGCGGCCCCTGGGGCAAGAGTGACCCCTGGCGCGCGGCTCCTAGGGGGGGGGGGGGGGGGGGCGAGGGGCCCGAAGACGCGAGCGCGCAAAAGACGCCGCCCGCGTGGGCGCCGAATCCCCCGCTTGCTCGAGAGAAGCAGCCCGGGGCGGAGGAGGCGCGCGGGGACGGCCGGGGAGGGCGCCGGCGGCGAGTGCAGCGGGGGGGGAGGGGAAAGGGTCCTCCTCCTCCTCCTCCTCCTCCTTCTCCTCCTCCTCCTCCTCCTCCTCCTCCTCCGCCCTCGCGCCGCGCTCGGCGGCCCGGGAGCCCCGGCGGGCCCGCATCAGAAGCCCCTCCGGCGAAGTCCGGGCGCTGCCGCCGGGCTGCCGGGAGGCCCAGAGCGGCCCTGGCCAGGCGCGGGGCCCTATCCACAGGGGGCCCCTCCCGGGCCTCGCCCGCGGCCGCCCCCGCGCGGCGCGGGGGGGGGAGGCACGCGGGCGGCGCCCACCAGCCGGCCCCCCGACGAGGGCTGGCGCCCTCGGGGCTGCCGCACGCCGTTGAAGGGGCCTTGGGGCACACAACTAAATGCACACACACAAAACAACAGGATGCCCAATCTTTTCCCATGTTTTCTGGGTTTTTGTCTTCCCCCCCACTTCCCATATTTTCCTATATTTTCCTGGAAATCGACGATCAATTGTGACTGTGTTTTTCCCCCTCCTGAACCGTGGGCCTCGGGGCTTCCCAAAATCGGGCCTCGGGGCGTCGACGGCGACGGCGCCTGCGTCGGCGACGCCGGCTCGAGCCTGCCACCGCCTGCGGGGGCCGGCGGCCCGCCGAGTGCTCCCCGCCGCAACGCCTCGAGCACGCAGCGCGGCGGCGGGTCTGTGGCCGCCCGTGGCCCCCGCGAGCCTGCCTCGGGCCTCGCTTGGGTGCCAAGGTGGGCGTTGCTTCATGGAGGGCGCGAGGACTGGGAGGGCGAAGAAAGGTGCACCTGGCGGGCCCGATCTAAACCCCAGGGGGCCTCCTCCTCCTACTCCTCCTCCTCCTGCCTCTCCTCCTCCCCTCTCCTCCTCCTCCTCCTCTCCTCCTCCTCCTCCTCCTCCTCCTCCTCCTCCTCCTCCTCCTCCTCCTCCTCCTCCTCCTCCTCCTCCTCCTCCTCCCCCTCCCCCTCAGGGCCCGCGAGGCGCACCTCTCTTCCCCCTCCCCTCCCAGTGATCGCCCCTGCCATTGCGCAGCGCCCGAGTCAAAAAGCCGCCACAGCCAGCCCCGGGGAAGGGGCTCAGAGGTCCGACGGCCCAGGCGAAGAGCTTCTTGCGGGACGGGAAAATGACCACAGCCACTGCTTCTTGTTTGCGCCGCCTTCCATCCGGCCGAAAAAAAAGCAGTGGTTGTGGTCATTTCCCTGGTGCCAAGCTTAACGAAAATGACCACAGCCACTGCTTTGTTTCTGCTGGCTGCAAGGCGGCAACAAAAGAAAAGCAGTGGCTGTGGTCATTTTCACGCCCCGTACTTCTCCGCTCGGGAAGAGCACCACCCCTCGGGAAGAGCAGCCGCCCTGGCAGGTCCAGCGGGCGCGACGCCGTGGCCGTGCTGGCGAGACGGCGTGGCCAGGCCCGGGGCAGGAGTCGGGAGCGTCCGAGAGGGGGGGCGTCCAGGAGGGGGGGGTTCGCAAGCCAGGGCCCGAGGCGTGTGTGCGGCCAGGGGACGTACTGAAAGAAGACGAGGACAGGACAGGACAAGACAGGAAAAGACCGCGCCTAGACGGCGCATCGGCAGAACATGGCAACTTACAAAAACCATGGAAAAATCATGCGAAGACAATTCCGCGCTGAATGCACCCGCGCCAGAACGCAGCCACTGCGTATTACAGTGGTGGGCGACGGAAGGACATACACCAGCACGGCGGCATGCAGGAGGAAGGGGTGAGGGGAAGAAGACGAGGGGGCCATGACATCCAGGGAGACATCATGGCCATGGCCACGCCACCTGTCAGAACCCCACCCTGGGCCGCCCCTGAGAGGAGGGAGGGGAAGAGGGCCCTGCGAGCGTGGCCGAAAAATTGCTCCAGAACCGCCCACGCAGAAATCGGCCCTCGCAAAAAGAGAGAGAGAGAGAGAGATCGAGAGAGAGAGAGAGGAGAGAGAGAGAGAGAGAGAGAGAGCGAAGCGACAGATGTCTGGCTCTGGTGCGAGGCGTTCTGGGGGCTGCGGGGGGGGGCCAACTCCGAGCACACCAGCCACTGCTTGGGTGGCCACCGTGGGCCCGCACCACGGGTCACTCCAGCGAAGGGTCACTCTCACGCGTGGCCGGCTCTCTTCCACTCCCTCTGGAGGCGGGTCGGAGCAGCGCGCAGCATCGCCGATGCACTGGTGATGCGGCGCGATCTGTAGCCCGGCTTTCTCAGTGCCGACGTCGCCGATTTAAGCATCTAAGATCGCAAATGCATCGGGGACGCAGCGCGATGGCCCGGCCCCTTGTGCGCCGGCCCCATCTGGGCGGCCTGGACTCTAGCATCGTCTGAGCTTCTGCCCCTGGACCCTGGACCGTGGTGGGGGTGGGGGTGGGGGAGCGGAAACGTCGCTGGCGCCCCAGCCTTCCAACGCCTTGAGAAAATCAAGACGGATTGCTTCGCCATCGCTGGACTCCAGAGGCCGTCGTGCCCAGGCACCCCAGGATTATGCCAAAACCATCTGGGATGAAAAGCAGGTCCCAAGATCGTCAAGAATTACGTTTCTCCCATCGCACTTAAGGACCACATCCCAGAAATGATTTCGAGCACCCGGGAAAGTGCCTAAACAGTGTCGAGACAGTGTCGGTCGAGTGTCTCCCAGGGCCCAGCACGTAAAAGTCCTCGAGTTCTGGTGCTTTCTTGGTGCTCGAAACCCTTTCTGGCGATCAAAGCTACAGTAGGTTCGAGCATCATACGGTCGGGGCGTTGACCTAAGGAACCCTGAATAAGGAACGAGGCCCCTTTTTTTCCATCAAATAAACTTCGATTCCTCGATTCCTATCGAAAACACCAGGAAAACCTGAGGCAAGCTGTGAAACTCTTAAGGAACGCGGAGCCCCTCCCCAACCAAAAGGGTTCCTTCTTCAGGGCCCCGACTGTAAGCCAAGAGACGAGTCGGGATGTCTCGGGGCTCCGCGGCCGCCGACGCCGCTGCGCTCGCGGGTGCGGATAGAGAGAGAGAGAGAGAGAGAGAGGCCCGGGGCGGCCAGCGCCCCGTCGGGAGGAGGAAGAGCAAGAGGAGGAGGAGTGCGGCACCTCACCACCATCTCTGACCGAGGCAGGTCTCCAGACACCCTGCAGCAGTGGGAACGAATTGTCCTCCCGACGGACTTCTGGACGGACTGGGTCCCACCAAGATTGGAAACTAACCGTTCCTCCGCGGCAGCCGCCGCGCAATAACGGGGAGGAAGAGGAGGAGAAAGAAGAGGAGGAGGAGAAGGAGGAAGAGAAGGAGCAGGAGGAGGAGGAGGAGCAGGAGCATGAGCAGGAGGAGAAGGTGGTGGAGGGGCGGAGTGTACTCCCCGCCGACAGGAACACAACGAAAGACCTTCTGAGGTCAATCCACCCTGGCTCCATCACTCGTCCGATCACGGCCGAGGACAAGGCTCGAGTGATCCCGTCCGCTTCGCCGTGCCGGGTGCGTCCGTCGGTTCGCATGGGCATCGCAGGCGGTTGGTGATTCATCGCATCGCCCATGGTATGCAACTCCATCTGCTTCCCTTCCCTCTCCCCATGCCCCTCCTGAAGGAGTGTACGTTAGGGGCTGGACCACAAGAAACCTTCCACGAGAAACCCAACCCAGGAAGCCCAGGACGCCTACTATTCCATCGCAAAACCATCGGAACCCAAGAAACCCACGGCACCCTGGAGGCAAACAGGGTGTTTCTTGGCATGGGTCTCCGCTTTAGCGGAACAGAGCGAGAGGGCGTGCTGCACCACACCCCCAGAGCAGGAGACAGAGCGGATCTCGCAGAAGGGAGCAGGAGCGGAAGTGCGCACGACACATGGGGCGAAGGCGGCACAACTCATGAGAACGACACATATGCGCGTGGGCACACACTCTCGACGCCGGCGCTGCTCGCAGGGGCAGGGAAGCGAGGAACGCGAGGGCCCGTGGGCCCGTCCTGGGCCCCCAGATCTGGCCGACATCGGCGCGCTCTCCCAAGTCGCCGACCGCAGCGGTTCTCGGGCGGAGGCCAAGGGCAGGGCAGCAAAGGGCAGGGCAGAGAATCAGCTCACGCTCGCCTTCGCTCGGACGTCCATTCCCTGTGTTTTTGTTTCGGTTTCGTGCGTGGTTTTTTCGCCAAATGATCAAGGATGCTCCTCGATGGTCCTCGCCGAAGGAAAAATGCACACGTCCGAGCGATGCCAAGCACGTAGCTGGTTTTCCTGGCGCCTCCTGGCGCGGGGAGGCGCACATGCATCAAGGAATGGGCCTGGCGGCGGGGCCGACACCAGCTGCACGCAGCAGATGTCGTCCCCCCCCTTTCCCTATCCCCCCATTTCGTTTGGCCCGAGCTTCACTCTAGTTCAAATTGGTAAGAACTCTGGCCGGCCCTTCAAGTCAGCGCTCGGATGCCCGCGCGGATGCCTTCGATCTGAGCATCCCTCAGTTGCGGATAAGAGCGAGGGGGCGGGCGGTGGGTCGCGGGTGGGTCGCAGGTGGTCGCGGGGTGGGTCGCGGGTGGGTCGCGGGCGGGTCGCGGAGTGGGTCGCGGGTGGGTCGCGGGTGGGTGGCGGAAGAGGACGATGACAAAATCACAACAACAACAACAACAACAACAACAACAACAACAGCAGCAACAACAACAACAAGCAGAATCCTCGCCGCGGAGTCGCATTTCAGCCACGCACCCAGGTACAATGAATGACCGTTCGGCCCCCTCATTCTGATTTTTCCACCGGCCAAAGCCCCGGCCGATCAGGCGCCACAGGCCACGATTCGGCGGCCAGCACACGGGGGGAATCGAGAGAGGGTGGGCCTTCTCGGAAGTCTCGCCTTCTGAGAACTTCTCTGAGCACACCAAAAAAAAACCTCTCACAAGGCCAGAGGGCTTCTGAGAAGGCCTCCTCCTTCTCACTCGCTCCCCTCGCTCGCCGCTGAACGGTCGCGCGCGCGGCCCTCTCCCTCGGGCCCCACCAGGAGTGTGCGCAGGGTCCCGTAGTACAGCTTCCGGGCGCTGTCCGCGAGCTGCACGCGCCTGGAGTGAGCATAGGGCGAGAGCGAGAGAGAGAGAGAGAGAGAACAAACAAAACAATGGGAGAAGAGGGAGGTGATGGCCAAGGTGGGCAGTAGTGAACGTGAAAGGACAATGGCCAGAGAGTTGGAGGGGCAAGGGGGTGCAGGACGGGGGGGGGGACAAGGGGAGGGGGAGCGCAGAGCGCGGGAGGAGAAGGAGGAGGAGAGGAAGGGGGAGAGGAAGGGGGAGGATCATGACGGGAAGGGGAGGAGAGCGGGATGAGGGGGGAAGGGGGAACGAAGAGAGGGAGAGGGGGAGGGGGGGACAGAGGGGCAAGATGGGAGGGGTGAGGGTGGAAAGCAAAAGGGAAGGCGGCGCAGAAGGAGCGAGAAGGGTAGGTAAAGGGGATGGGGGTGCCGAGTTAAGGGAAAGGGGCGGCGACGAGGGGGCGACGACAGCTGCGACGACGGCATCGACGACGGCGGCGAGGACAGGAGAACTCCGAGGGCGTCTCGGAGGGTCTCGAACAGCACCCAGAAACCAGACGCACAGAAGACGTCGAAAAATCCTCGACCTGAGACCCAAACACGACGACGTCGACTGCGATCGAAGGCGACGGCGGCGACCATGGCCGTCTTCAGAACGGGCCTGCAGAACACCCCCGGGTCCACTCCCAGGAAGCCCCGCGAGCCGCGCCAGGCCGACAGCGACGCACACCTCCGGACACGCCGACCGAAAGGCCTCCGAAGAGCGACGACGGCGCCTGCGACGACGGCGTCGACGACGACGGCGACGACGACGGCGACGACGGCGGCGGCGACGGCGTCAACGGCGACGGCGACGGCGGCGACGGCGGAGGCGGCGGCGGCGGCGGCGACCAGCGGCGAGGGCCGCGCCGCAGGCGCGGCTCCAGGAAGCAGAAGAGCTGGGCCAGGAGCCGCTGCAGCAGGAGGCGCGCGGTGGCGCCCCCCTTGCGCCGACAAAGGGGGGGCGGGGGCCCGGGCCCTCGAGGGCACAAGGAGGAGGAGACGTGCGGAGGAGAGCGAGATCGCGACTGGAGGGCCTGAGAAGAAGCGCGGCGCACACAAAGCACACGAGGAATAACACTCCTCCTCCTCCTCCTCCTCTTCCTCCTCCTCCTCCTCCTCCTCCTCCTCCTCCTCCTCCTCCTCCTCCTGCTCTTGTTATTATTCCTCCTCCTCCTCCACCCTCATCCTTCTCCTTTTCCTGCTCCCTGTTCACCCCGCTCATCCCTCGGGGGTTGCGAACTCCGAAACCGTCAACACGTTCGACGGCCGCTGCTCAGACTAGACTTTGCCATGTTTGAGGGGCTGCGAAGTGCGAAAGTGTCGCCGCTTTCGAGGATTGCTTTGGGGTCTTGACGCCTCACCGCGGACTCAGATTTGACCTCGCCATCCCTGGGGGGCTGCGAACTGCGAAACTGTCGCCCCTTTCCCAAGCGGATGGGGGGGTCCAGCGGGATGGCGCCTTACCGCAGACTCAGACTAGACCTCGCATCTTTTGGGGGGCTGCGAAGTGCGAGCTGCGAAACTATTTCCACTTTCGATGTCAGCTCAGGCGTCCAACGGCGTGACACCTCGCCGCGGACTCAGAGTACACCTCGCCATCCTTGGGGGGCTGCGAACTGCGAAACTGTCACCACTTTCGGTGGTTGCTGGGGGTCCAGCGGACTGACATTGCCGCAGACTCAGATTCGACCTCGCCACCTTTGGGCGGCTGCGAACTGCAAATTTGTCACCACTTTCGGGGGCTGCTGGGGGTCCAAAGGAAAAGCGCCGTACCGGAGAGTCAGTTTAGATTTCGCCATCCCTGGGTGGCTTCGAACTGCGAAACGGTCACCAGGTTCGATGGCTGCTGGGGGGTCCACCTGGGTAACGCCCTGCTGCAAACTAGAGCTCGCCATTCTTGGGGGGGCGAAAAACTGCAACAATGCTTCCAAGTTCGAGGGCTTCAGTGGGCAGAGTCAGCGCACACCTCGCCCTCCCTGGGGGGTTGCTTGCTGCGAAACTGTCGCCATGTCCGATGGCTGCTGAGGGTCCAGCGGAATGGCGTTTCACCGCGGACTCAGACTCAACCTCGCCATCCAAAGGGGGCTGCGCACTGCGAAACCGTCGCCACTTTCGAGGGCCGCCCGGGGGGCCAAGCGGAGTTGACGTTTTACCGCAGACTGACATTAAACCTCGCCCTCCCAGGGGAATTTGCGAACTGCGAAGCTGTCGCCCCTTTCGGAAACTGCTGGAAGGGCCCAGCGGGATGACGCCTTACCGCGGACTCAGACTAGACTTTGCCATCCGTTTGCTGGGGCTGCGAACTGCGAAACTGTCGCCACTTTCGAAGGCTGCTGGGGGTCCAGCGGGGTGGCGCCTGACCGAGGACTCAGGGTACACCTCCATCCCCGGGAGGCTGCGAACTGCGACGCTGTCTCCCCTTTTCGTGGGTTGCTGGGAGGCCCATCGGACTGGCGCGTTACCGCAGACCCAGATTAGACATCGCCATCCCTGGAAGCATGCGGACTGCGAAAGACCTCCGACAGCTGATGGGGATCCAACGGAGCAACGCCTTACCGCGGACCCAGGTGTTACGTCGTCATCCTTGGGGGGCTTCAAACTGCGACATCATCTCCACTTTCGAGGGCTGCTGGGAGACCCAGCGGACTGGCACCTTACCGCAGACTCAGATTTAACCCCGCCATCCCGTGGAACCTGCGGACTGCGAAAGCGTTGTCACTTCCGATAGCTGATGGGGGTCCAGCGGAGCGACGCCATACCGCGGAGTCAGATGAGACGTCGCCATAACTGAATGACAGCGAGGTGCGAAACCGTTCCTTCTTTCGACTGCTGCTGTGGGTCCAGCAGAATGGCGTCCTACGCGGACTCAGATTCGCGTTGATGTGCTTCTTTTTCCGCGGGCCGCCCGCAAACCTGGCGTCCCGCCTGCGTGCGTGCAGCTCCCGCGCTGCAAGTTGCAGGGAGGAGGCGGATATCCTGGCGGGCGAACTCAGCATCTCTCGCATCTTGCACTAGCTATGAACAGCTGGCACTCTGGCGCGCCATAGAGACATTGCGCGGGCCGCGCTGCTTGTCCAGAGCGCTACTGGAAATTAAGTATCGCTGCCCTCCTTCCTCATCCTGCCTCTTTCGTGGTCGTCCTCTTCCTCCTTCCACCAAATTACTGCTGATGTCGCGTCAACCTTTCGGCCCCTGTTCCGTTCTTTTCCTGCCCCTCGTTCCCACCCCCATTCCCTCTTCGAACATGGGGCCTCAGTCCTCGTCCTTCTGTTGCTGTCCTGTGAGCAGTACAACGCGCGCGCTTCCCATCTAGTTTGTGCAACCAATGACAGATCATATGTTGTTGTCAACCATACTATTATGGATCATCTCGTCTTGTCACATGATGCAGATGGGTTGCGTACGTCGTAAGATGATGTGTTGCTCTTGTTTCCCGTGGCGGTCTTTTCCCCGGGGTGGGGGGGGAATTCGGGCCACAGGCAACGGTAGCGCTTGGGCGGGAATGGGCACGCCGGGGCGGGGGTTGCGCTGCGATCGTTGTAGTATGCAAGCGAGCACCAGCATGGGGAAGGGGTCCAGGCCCCCCCCCTTACGTACGATCATGACCGTTGCCACGGAGAGGGGCAGGCAACGACCGCTACGGCCAAATGTACACAATCTCCCACGAGCCCCATATTGCTGGACTCGCGACGTGGGCACGGAAAAATTGGTACGATGGTCAACCGGACATGTCGTCCAATGCCGACAGTCGCCGCTGCTGGACAGGAGGAGGAGGATGAGGAGGAGGAGGAGGACGAGGAGAACGAGGAGGAGGAGGAGGAGGAGGATGGCGAGTGGGAGGAGGAGGAGGAGGAGGAGGAGGAGGAGGAGGAGGAGGATGACGAGGAGGAGGATCGCGAGTGGCCTTCAAAATGGGTAGGAGCTGGTGTCGGCCTTCGCCCCCGCTCTTTCCGCAACCCGGCTCGATCGTGCCGAACTTTTTAGGCATCCTGGGCCTCCTCGGGCCGCTTCGGGCCAGCTCTTGAAGCCAGCGGGAGAGCCTTTTTTCCCCTCGCGGCGACAGCGGGCGTGAAGGGAGGGGCGGCGGCGGGGGGGAGCAGGACGTAACGCCCCCAACCCCGGGCGTGTGGGCCCGGCACCAGAGGCGGTGGTGCCAGACGCACTGCGGCGGCGCCAGGGACGCACTGGGGGGGGGGGGGGAGAGCGTTGCGTCATGGGGGGGAGGAAACGGGAAAGGAGGGGGGGAGGGCCGAACGCGCACACGCTGTGGCACAAAAGGTACAAAAACATTCTCTCGGGGATGGACAGCACCCCCTTCAGGAAAACGTGGTTTAGTGAAAACGACCTCGGGCCCAAACCTGGCGGGCGCAAGCCTGGAAAATGACGGCCGCGGCGCCCTCTCGAGAACCGAACACGGACAATTCACTGATCGACGTGTCAGGGTGGGGGGTCTGTCCACCCCCGACCATGAATCCGGCGGGGGTGGCCACTTGAGGCCATCCTCTGGGGCCGCGTCGCCCCAGGGAGGGCGCCGCCCGCACCGGGGGGGGCCCACGGCCGCGTCCGCGGCCGTGGCCACGCGGCGGCCTGCTTCCGGCCGAGGAGCTTCGGCACGAACATCCGGTTGCTGACGAGCTCCAGCCACGCGAAGGCGAAGTTCGGCGCCGTCAGGGGGCCGCACCTGGGGCAGGCCATTGCAATACAAATCTATATATATATGTATATATATACATATATATATATATATATAATGTTATCCTCCTCCTCCTCCTCCTCCTCCTCCTCTTCTTCCTCCTCCTCCGTCTCCTCCTCCGATCGTCCTGTTTCGTAGGCGCACTGGCTGTGAGCGCTTGAACTCAAACTTTTCCCGCCTACGCGCCGGACGGCGTATGGCTTCGTGCTCGTGCCCGCACCAAAAAATAGCAGCGCCGCGGACCGATGACCCTCTGGGCGAGGAAAGCTCTGCAAAGGCAGGACGCGTCTGCCACAGAACACCTCTGCGGGGGCAGGCCTGCGCCAGACGGAAGCGCGACATCGGATCGGATCGGCAACAGAGATCATCGCCAGCGAACCGTCCGGAATCGAATCGAGATCGGATCGCCTGACCGGGCTCCGGTTGGCCCTAATTAGCCGATGCCCGTGAATCAGCATCGCGGGCCCAGCCCGCGAATCGAAGCGAATCGTAGGCGGCCCTGCGGGAGCCACCCAGGCGCCTCAGACAACCAGGGCCCTGAGGCCCTCAACGAAGACGGTCCGAGACGCGAAAACCACAAGCACTGCTTCCTTTTGTCTTCTGGGAACGTGCGCTGCTGTTCTTTGGGCACTTTCAGCGCCCCGCGTTGCAGAAGCTACGTCTCGCCAAGCGGTGCCCCAAACACGCTACAGCTGTTCGCCTTTCCTGCGCTACAGCTGTTCGCCTTTCCTGCTACTCTCGTCCGGGCCCAGTACCTGGTGACGCTGGCTGCAGTTTTGCCTGCAACACTTGGCTGAGTGGCCGTAACGACCGCTACCACTGCCCGCATTACATGCTCCTGTGCTGCAGAATAGAAGACGTCGTGCTCCAGCTTCGCTTACCATGTCTCTCGGCAGTGCCAAAGACTGCCACCGCTTCCCACCCTTCTCGCGGGCGCTGATCCCAGCACTGTAGCTGACTAAGGCTGGCCTGTGGAGCACATCCGACTTGCCCTCGAGCCCAGTCCCAAATCTCGCTGAAGATTATCTTTCGGAGCCTGAGCGTACCCCTGCAGTGCCCAACTGCTGGAGAAACTCAAACGTTCCCTGGTAGTGCCTGCCCTCTTCGCCGCAATGTCCTACAGATGCTCCACCGCTCCTACAAATGCGATGCTTGACGTTGTGTCCTGTCGCTGCCCGCCTTTCCTAACCTACTTCTGGCAACACAACTGATGACGTCGGATTCCGACTTGGCCTTGCAAAAATGGTGCGCAGCGACAACGACTGCTCCCAATGCCGACCTTTGCCGCCCACGCTCACAATCAAATTGACAATAGTGAGCCAAATCTTACTGAGCATTTCATCGGGCAAGATTGCCGCTCTTTGCCACTGCCCGACTTCATCGCACGCGGTGCTTACAGCAGTGTGCATCACGGCATACGTATCACATCTGGCCTCCTCCAGGTCGCATAAAACAATAAATGCTTCCACTGCCCGCTTTTCTCTGATGCTCTGATCTGGGCTTTAGCTGGTGGCAGTGGGCTTCGACTTCGCCTCCCACATATCGCTGAACAGCGCCAGTCCCCGCTGCCACTGCAAACCGATCCCGCATGCATTGATCCCAGCAAGGAATGCGATGGCATCGGGCATCACGTTCACCTCCCGCACGTCGCTCAGCAGCGCCAAAGCCCGCTGCCACTGCAAGCCCCTCTCGCACGCCTTCACCCCAGCGCTTGAACTGACTGCGGCTGACCGGTCGATGAACACCCATGGAACAGAGACAGCAACTGCATAGTTAACCTCCCCGCGTTTGTTGCGTACGCTGATTCCGTTTTAGGAAGGCAACGCAGTGGTCTTAGGGGGGCCAGGAGCCCTCTTGAGGGGCCATGAGACGGCAGCCCTGCATTGTCTGTCCAGCGGGTCCCACGGAGAGTCATGCGTTAACGAATTTAGGAGGCAACTTCTGTGGGGTCTTCGCCTGCGCGGTTCAAACGCCGCAGCCCTTTGCAAATTATATTAAACCGAATCAAGCTGAGGAGTAAAGTATACCATACCTTATTATACAGGATCAGCCCGGATTCTGCCAGGTAAGGCCTGGCTAACACCAAGCCATGGAAATACCGGGGCTCATTCTAAGGAGCTGCGAAATAATGAGGGTTAAGTCGCGGCAGATTCCCATGGAAGTCTTGAGGGTGGGGAGCTGAACTAGCCGAGAAGTAGGGATCACTCCGGCGCGTAAGCCTCAAAGCATCAAAGCGGATTCGCTGAACTAGCGAAAGCCCGCAAGTATGGCAGGGTACTGAGTTCACTAAGCGACAGCTGCGAACTGCAGCAAATGTTGGCTCGCGCCAGGGGATCCCTGCTTGGTCAGGAATGTGTGCGTGTGTGTGCGTGTGTGTGTGTGTGTGTGTGTATGTGTGTGTGTGTGCGTGTCTGTGTGTGTGCGTGCGTGCGTGCGTGCGTGCGTGCGTGCGTGTGTGTTGTGTGTGGGTGGGTGGGTGGGGAGGGAAGGACGGCAAATTCGAAGGAACGGGCGGGCCTGCATGGCCGAGCATCGGCTGCCCGAGTGAACCATGCTGCCACACTCGGGCCGGGCGAAAGGGGGGGATAGCAAAGGGGGGGTTTGAGAATCAGCACACGTAGCTGATTTTCCCGGCGCCTCCCGGCGCCGGGGGTGGCTATGTATCGAGGAATGGGGCCCTCGGTGGGGCCGAAACCAGCTGCACGCAGCAGATTTCGTAACCCCCCATTTCCCAATCCCCCCCTTTCGTCCGACCCGACATACATGGACCCCACAAGATAGAATCCCAAGCGCGGGCTGAACAGTGGTTTCCGTTTTCGTTGCGTTTTTGTTTTCCCTAGTTCTGCATTCGTTCCCCCCGTCCTGCGTAGCGAAATCAGAACGAGAGCGGTTCACGCGATCGCCCAAGCCCTACCATCATCACCAGACATCTACTGCCACTCACAGACTCTGGCCGATGGTCCCGAGCCTCCCGCAAGGCCTCAAGTAGGACTCGATAGCCTATCCAGGAAGCCTTCTGGAGAAAAAACGACAGAACCCTGTATATGCGTTCAACGGTTGTCGGGACATTTCGAACAGCCTCATCCCAGGCGTCCCCAAGACGCCCCAAATCATGCTCAGGAAAGGCCCGAAGCGTTCCGATGAGGTCGAAGGTTGTTCCACTCCCCACCCCCCATACAGATCCAGAGCAGCCCACAGGCGGCCCCAACGGCTCCAACCTCCCAGAGGGCATCCCAAAAGGCCGCCAGGAGGCCAGCAACGAAACTTAGAAAACGCCCTCCAGGATGCCCAGAAGACTCTCCAGAGAGAAAGCCACTTAGAAACATGATAGTGTGTCGCCGCACATCGTAAGAAGGTGCTGCAAAGATGCAAGAACCTTGGGCGCCAAAATTGCAGCCCGCTGCGCTACAAGGAAGCCCCCTTGGGAGTTGGCCAACAAAATCGTACAAGGATCGGCCGAAAAGGCAAGGACCCAGAGTTCAAGAGCACCATTTGGAGGATCACCTCACACTTCTTGTGTCGCGCGGCGACTGGAGCGGGGCGGAGCGGAGCGGCGCCGATGTCGCCCAGAGGGGGCGTCCCGTGTCAGGAATGGCGGGTGTGCCGGGGCGCCTCAGTGGGATGCCTGGTCGTATACAGATCCCGTGCTCATCCAGTGATTTCGGGAGCGGCCAAGAGGGGGGCGTCCAAGAGGGGGGGTGCAAATCATGACTGGCGGCACGTGCGCGGCCCAGCGGGGGGGCCAGGGACGTAATGAAATAAGAAGGGGCGCCGTGAGATCTGGGGAAGTATCATGGCCCCCGCCATGATATCCCCCCCCCTCGTCATCACCCCCCCCTTTGCCGCCCCCGAGGATTGTGATTCCGGGCAAGCGGCTCCCGGCTCCAGGCTGCACGGCAGCGCCGCGCGGCCGCACCACTGCCGCAAGGGCCCTCGCAGGCGTGGGCGCGTGGGCGCGGCGACCGGAGGGCCGTGGCAGGCGGCCCCGACGCAGACGCCCGCGGCGGCGGCGCAGGCAGCCGGGCCGCGGCTCCGGCCCCAGGCCCGGCGCAGCACGGCAGCGCCCGCCGCTCCCGCCCCATGGTGGGGCCAGCCTCGTGGGAGAGGCGAGGGCGCGCCCGCGGATGGACCCCATGGTGGGCAGAGCTATCTTCTCCTGTCGGGGAGACGTAGGGACTCGGGCGCGGGGGGGACTCGGGTGGGCCCGACGGGGCCACCCTAAAGATGGCGAGGCCCAATCTGAAGTTTGGCGCGGGCTCCCGCTGCAAGCATCCCACGAAGACGGGGCCGTCAAACTCCAGGACGCGCTCGTCAACAAAAAAGTCGGCAAACCCGACTCCCGGCTTACTCGAGTCTTACGTTTCCCCGAATTGAATCCATGGCGGGCAGAAACATTCTCTGGCTCGTGGCTACCTGCTGCGATGTAGGCCATGTGTTGCGGCATTATGGTTGTAGCCGCTACGTGCGTGTTGCCAGAGCTGATGGTTGGGCGCGCGAGCGCGCGTGACGGACCCAGGAACGACGGATTGGGTTCCGAGTGGCCGATAGGCCGCGAACGCGGAATGGAACACCACGAAGTGCTGGAATGGGGGAGAGCCTGGGGGGCCCCAAGGGTGGGACCTCAGGCGAGGTATTGCTGGAGAGCCTGGGGGTGCTCTCGAAGAGCCGATCGGGGCCATCCAGGAGCCATCTGGGGGTCCACGTGGGCCTGACGGCGAAGTCGTCCGTGACCAGAACAGGCGGAGTTCGTCCCTGGGGCCGCGGGTGCAGGAAAAACCGTAGCCCACGCCTGTGTGGGCAGACTCGCCGCCAAAGAAATTCTTCGACATGAGATTCGTCCACCTCCCGGGGGCGGGGACACCAGGGGAGCTGAGGGGCCCTTCGCGAGCGAGCAGTGTCTCCAAAGGTGTGATGTGTGCGTGTGTGTGTTTGTGTGTGCTTGTGTGTGTTTGTCGCTCGTACTCCGTGCTTGTGTGTGTGTGTTTGTGTGTGTGCGTGTGTGTGCTTGTGTGTGCGTGTGAGTGTGAGTGTGTGTGTGTGTGTGTGCGTGTGTGCGTGTTTCTGCGTGCGTGTGTGTGTGTGTGTGTGTGTATGGTGTGTGTGTGTTTGTTTGTGTGCGAGTGTGTGTGTGTATGTGTGAGAGAGAGAGAGAGAGAGAGAGAGAGAGCGTGGTGTGCGTGTCCACGCGTGTGTGCGTGTGTTCCATGTGTGGCGCCGCCTTCTGACGCCCGGTACCCCCAGGGGTGCATGGAGGCATTCTGGAGCCTCCCTCGGGGCAATCTTTCCGCCATCGTGGGCTGAGTTCTGTCCGCCTGGGTTCTGATGACCATCCTGGAGGCCGTCTGGCCGTCTGGCGCGGCCTCGGACCGTCCTGGAGGCCGGCCTGGGTCCCCGAGGACTGTCCTGGAGGCAGTCTGGAACCGTCCAGGGCCGTCTGGGAACGTGTCGGGGCCGTCTGGGGCCGATGGCGACTCGGGCCTCCCTCAGACGCGCCGATCCTGGCATTGCAGAATAGACCCAGGCAGATCCGCGGTCTACCGTCCACGAACAGTAACTCGCATAGAAGGGCGAGGCTCGCGTGCTTGCTTTACTGCTTGCCTGCTGTCATGCGTGCGTGATTGCTAACCCGGTGCCCTCACAACCTGTGGCCTCCATTGCCCGAACTTGTCATGCGTCATTTCTTGAGATTGGTTCTTTGATTGCTCGCCCGGACGCTGCCGCTTGCGCATGATTGGTGGTGACTGCTGCCACCTGCTGGTGCTTCTGCTTCTCGCCGCCACCGACTCTTGCTTGCTGGTTCGTGCTGCTGTCTGCTGCAGCTCGGTACTTGCTGCGTGTTGATGCTTGGCGCTTGTTGATGCTGCGCGCCCGCCGCTGTATGCCGCTGCTGGCTGCTGCGGCGTGCTGCTGACTTGCCGCTGGCCCTGGCTGCTGCTGCCTGCCGCTGCTCCAGAGCGCTGCTGTTTGCCAGCTTTGCATGCCGCATTGATGCAGGCTGTTGCTGCTGCTGCTGCGGCTGCTGCTGCTGCTGCTGCTGACCGCTTGATGTTGCATGTTGCTGCTTGCTGTTGCTGCGTGCTGCTTGCTGCATGCTTGCTGCTGCTTGGTGCTGATGTTTGCTGCTGCACTGCCGATTGCTACTGTTTGCTTCTTGCTGCGTGCTGCTGTCTTGAGGCGCGTCGGGGCAGCCAAGGGGCCCTCTGTGCACGCCTCCAAATCATCTGGGGTCGTCTTTGGCCATGTTGGAGCTCTCCTGCGACGTCTTGGGAATCCCCTGGAGCTCCAGAGTCGCCTTGAGTCTCTCTTGAGGCCGTCTTCGTCTCTCTTGGGGTCTTTTTGCGGTAGTACGGGGGCCTTCGTGGAGCCCTCTTAAAACTGTATTTGGACCTTCTCGGAGGCTTCTTTGGGCAAGGCCATTCTGAAGCTAGCTTACGTCGAGAGGCCCAGGAAACCAAACACACAGGCACCTACACACAACTCACACACAGAAACTCCGTTGATGACCCTGTCCGGGCCCACTCTATGGCGGCCCTCTTGGGGCCGATCGTGGGGGCTCTTGCGCGCTTCGCGGGAGACCGTGGGCTCTCCTGGAATCCTTCGGGAGTCTCTTGGTATTTGGGACCTCTGGCGCTGCTGCGTGGCCACCATGGGGCGATCAAGGGTCCCTCACGCACGGACGTCCCGCTGCCGCACTCAGCTCACGATCTACACACTGCCCCCCGCAGTGCAGTTGGGCTGATATCGGGCTCCAGCCTCGTCTCCCGCATCTCGCTGATCAGGGCCAGGCCCCAGCGCCACTGGAAGCCCGTGCCGCTCGCGCTGATCCCAGCGCTGCTGCTTGCTACTGCTCAGTGCCCAACTGCTGGAGCAACTCGAACTCCTGTTGTGTGCTGTCACTGCCCGCCTTTCCTGACCTACGTCAGGCAACACAGCTGATGACGTCAGAATCCGATTTTGCCTTGCAAATCCGCCGATCTGGCGTGTGAATTCTCTCAGAGTCTCAGAGAAGTTGAAGGAATAAGCGATTCAAAATGAAGCTATATTTTGCTTCACTCGGGGGTGGGGTGCTGGGGTGGCTCTGCCGGGGTACGGGGGTGTGGGATGGGGGCGCCCCCGAAATTCACGGGCCGTGAGGTCGGGGGGCCAGGATTTCCCCGGAATTCTCGCGCCCTGGGCAAGAGGGAGGAGAGGTTTCCCCTACTTGCCCAGGCCCTCTTGGGAGAGGCCCAGGGGCTCCTGGGCCCTCAGCAATCGCTGAACGATCGGGCGAAGACGCCCAAGACGACCTCCAGTCGGCCGAAACAGCACCCAAGACGCCCAACGAGGCCTCCAAACGCACTCCCAAGAGGGCCCACATGGTCAAATGCTAATGAAAAGCGTACAAGTTTAGTTCATCAGACTTATCAGCCTTCACGTCGTCCAAGACGGCCTAAAGTGCCCCAAGACCGCCACAAAACGGCCCAAGAGGCCCCCACGAGGGCCCCAACACGGCCAACGAGGGCCCCAAGACGGCCCAAGACGGCCCAAGAGAGCCGCAAGACGGCCCCAAGAGGGGGAGCCGAACAGACAATTCGATCCTTCCGCTCCAAGATGCCCCCAGGAGCCCCCAAGATGCCCCCGAGAGGTCCCAAAACAGCCCTCGAGAGCCTTCAAAATTGCTCCCGAGAATCCCCCGAGAGGCCTCCCACGACATGCCACCGAACATGCAAGAGGCCTATGATTCATAACTCAGGCACGGTGGCGGGATGGGCCGAAAGCCATTAGATCCGCCGCCCCCTGTGGTCTTGCCACAGGGGTGCACGGCGTGCTGGATGTGTCAGGTTTTGGTGTTGGTTCTTTTTCTAAATTATCCCGGCAAAGCAACCTAACAGCGATGTGTAGGAGCATATCTGGAAGCATTCCCCTTAAGATTCAGATAAGAATCCTGTTGTAGAATTCTGCTGTTCTCGCAGTCGTGGTCGCATTCGCGATGGCAGTCGCAGTGGCAACAGCAGTCGCAGTCACAGCCTCAGCCTCAGCCTGCCTCAGCCTCAGCCTCAGCCTGCCTCAGCCTCAGCCTGCCTCAGCCTCACCCTCAGCCTGCTTCAGCCTCAACATCAGTCTGCCTTCAGCCTCGGCCTCAGCCTGCCTCAGCCTCACCTGCATCAGCCTCAGCCTCATCAGCAGCATCAGCCTCAGCCTCAGCCTGCCTCGCCTCAGCCTCAGCCTGCTTCAGCCTCAGCCTCAGTCTGCCTTCAGCCTCGGCCTCAGCCTCAGCCTGCCTCAGCCTCAGCCTGCATCAGCCTCAGCCTCAGCCTCAGCCTGCCTCAGCATCAGCCTGCCTCAGCCTCAGCCTCAGCCTGCCTCAGCCTCAGCCTCAGCCTGCTTCAGCCTCAGCCTCAGTCTGCCGTCAGCCTCGGCCTCAGCCTCAGCCTGCCTCAGCCTCAGCCCTCAGCCTCAGCCTCAGCCTGCCTCAGCCTCAGCCTCAGCCTCAGCCTCAGCCTCAGCCTCAGCCTCAGCCTCAGCCTGCCTCAGCCTCAGCCTCAGCCTGCCTCAGCCTCAGCCTCAGCCTGCTTCAGCCTCAGCCTCAGTCTGCCTCAGCCTCAGCGGCCTCAGCCTCAGCCTGCCTCAGCCTCAGCCTGCATCAGCCTCAGCCTCAGCCTCAGCCTGCCTCAGCCTGCCTCAGCCTCAGCCTCAGCCTGCCTCAGCCTCAGCCTCAGCCTGCTTCAGCCTCAGCCTCAGTCTGCCTTCAGCCTCGGCCTCAGCCTCAGCCTGCCTCAGCCTCAGCCTGCATCAGCCTCAGCCTCAGCCTCAGCCTGCCTCAGCATCAGCCTGCCTCAGCCTCAGCCTCAGCCCTGCCTCAGCCTCAGCCTGCTTCAGCCTCAGCCTCAGTCTGCCTTCAGCCTCAGCCTCAGCCTCAGCCTCAGCCTCAGCCTCAGCCTCAGCCTGCCTCAGCCTCAGCCTCAGCCTGCTTCAGCCTCAGCCTCAGTCTGCCTTCAGCCTCGGCCTCAGCCTCAGCCTGCCTCAGCCTCAGCCTGCATCAGCCTCAGCCTCCTCAGCCTGCCTCAGCATCAGCCTGCCTCAGCCTCAGCCTCAGCCTGCCTCAGCCTCAGCCTCAGCCTGCTTCAGCCTCAGCCTCAGTCTGCCTTCAGCCTCGGCCTCAGCCTCAGCCTGCCTCAGCCTCAGCCTGCATCAGCCTCAGCCTCAGCCTCAGCCTCAGCCTGCCTCAGCATCAGCCTGCCTCAGCCTCAGCCTCAGCCTGCCTCAGCCTCAGCCTCAGCCTGCTTCAGCCTCAGCCTCAGTCTGCCTTCAGCCTCGTCCTCAGCTTCAGTCTGCCTTCAGCCTCAGCCTGCCTCAGCCTCAGCATCAGCCTGCCTCAGCATTCAAAGTGTGGCCCGGGAATGGAGTTCTGGGAACTCGAAGAACACGAAATGGCCTACAGTTGGCTCCGGGCATTCAAAATCATGCCCAGGAATGGAGTTCTGGGAACTCGAACACCACGAAGTGGCCTACAGTTGGCTCCGGGCATTCAAAATCATGCCCAGGAATGGAGTTCTGGGAACTCGAACACCACGAAGTGGCCTACAGTTGGCTCCGGGCATTCAAAATCATGCCCAGGAATGGAGTTCTGGGAACTCGAAGACCACGAAGTGGCCTACAGTTGGCTCCGGGCATTCAAAATGTGGCCCAGGAATGGAGTTCTGGGAACTCGAAGACCACGAAGTGGCCTACAGTTGGCTCCGGGCATTCAAAATGTGGCCCGGGAATGGAGTTCTGGGAAGTCGAAGACCACGAAGTGGCCTACAGTTGGCTCCGGGCATTCAGAATGTGGCCCGGGAATGGAGTTCTGGGAGGTCGAAGAGCACGAAGTGTGTGACTGTTGCATCCGGTTATTCAGAATGTGGGCTTCGGCCCGTCCCGCCGGCCACCCGTAATTTTCCCAAAATCAATCTGTCAATGCCTTTGTTGCGCCAACTTGGCCCAAGATGGCGTCCAAGACGGCCAAGATGGCCCAAGATGGCCTCCAAGATGCCTCCCAGACGGCCAAGATGGCCTCCAAGACGGGTAAGATGGCTCCAAGATGCCTCCAAGACGGCCCAAGATGCCCTCCAAGACGGCCAAGATGGCCCCAAGATGCCTCCAAGATGGCCCAAGAGGCCTCCAAGACGTTCTCCAGGAGAGCCCGAAGAGGCCAAAATCATTGGTTTTCCTTAGCTTTTTGAAGGTTTTTTGCGTTTTCGTCTTTTCGGCCTTCCGACGGCCCAAGAGGCCCCCAAGATCGCCCAAGAGGCCTCCAAGAAGGCCCTATGACGGCCCAAGGGCCCCCCAAGACGGCCCCAAGAGCGCCCCAAGACGGCCCAAGAGGCCTCCAAGACGCCCAACATGGCCTCCAAGACGGCCCTGAAGCGCCCCAAGAGGGCCCCAAGACGGCCCAGAGAGGCCCCCAAGACGGCTCCAGACGGCGTCAGACGGACCAGGAACGCCCTAAGACGGCCAAAGAGACCCCCAGGAAGCCCCCAAAGGCCCCCAAGAGGCCCAAGGAGGCCCCCAAGATGCCTCCAAGAGGCCTCGAAGAGGCCCCCAAGAAGCCCCCAACAGACCCCAAGGGTGCCCCAAGAGACTCCTAACAACCCTCATCCTCCTACTCTATTTCTTCCTCTTCCTCTTCCTGTTCATAATCATTCTCTCCCATGTGTTCCCCGAAAGCTTTCCAAACCGACTCGGGGAACTCATGGTCCGATAGCTTGGCCAAGCTCTAGTCCAACTTTCGGCCACATCGGCGTTTCCAAAAAGGCAGGGGGCGGCGGTGATTCGCCGTAGGCGTCTTCGAACCGCCGCCCCCTGTCGATTCATCGCAGGGGTGCCTGGCGTGCTAGATCCTCTCGGTTTTGGTTTAGGTTCTTTTTCCAAAAGAACTCTCCCAGTGGGTTTCGGCCCGTCCCGCCGGGGTCCCGGGAGGATTGCCACGGACCTCAATTCCATACTTTCTCTGTCAAGACGGCTCCAAGATGGCCTCCAAGATGCCTCCAAGACGGCCAGGATGGTCTCCAAGACGGCGAAGATGGCTTTCATATGCCTCCAAAACGGCCCAAGAGAGTCCAAGACGGCCCACGAAGGCCCAAGAGGCCCCCCAGAGGCCTCCCAGACGGCCCAAGAGGCCTCCAAGAGGTCCTCCAGGATGGCCCGAAGAGGCCAAAATCATTGAATCCCCACATGTTTCGTGGGGTTCTGGTTTTCTTCTCTGCCGCGTCGCACCCGCGTCTCCTCACACACACCTCCCCTCCCCCCACACACACACAGCACAGCACAGCTCAGCACAGCTCAGCACAGCTCAGCTCAGCACAGCACAGCTCAGCACGGCACAGCACAGCTCACCGCAGCACAGCACAGCACAGCACGGCAGAGCACAGCACAGCACAGCTCAGCGCACAGCACAGCACAGCACAGCTCAGCTCAGCTCAGCACAGCCAGGCTCGCAGATTGTGGCGGGAGTGGCACTTTCTCGACGCCACAGGGGGTGCGCAGAGGGTGGTGCCTCAGCGCGGCCTCTATCCGTGACACGCTCGCAGGTCGTGGCAGGAGTGGCACGTTCTCGACACCACAGGGGGTGCGCAGAGGGTGGTCCCTCAGCGCGGCCTCTATCCGTGACACGCTCGCAGATTGTGGCAGGAGTGGCACTTTCTCGACGCCACAGGGGGTGCGCAGAGGGTGGTCCCTCAGCGCGGCCTCTATCCGTGACACGCTCGCAGTCGTGGCAGGAGTGGCACGTTCTCGACACCACAGGGGGTGCGCAGAGGGTGGTCCCTCAGCGCGGCCTCTATCCGTGACACGCTCGCAGATCGTGGCAGGAGTGGCACTTTCTCGACACCACAAGGGGTGCGCAGAGGGTGGTCCCTCAGCGCGGCCTCTATCCGTG